TGGAGGTGCCGATAAAGCATGGGCGAGGTCGGCAGTACCGTTGTGAGAGCGGAATATTATTTAGCTTTTAGGATATTAAACCTAGACTAAAGCATGTTTTAAGTCAGATTCTTACCCCAGAGGTTTTCTTGAAACTACAGAAGGTATTAGACAAAATGGCCAAAGAAGATCGGATTTAATCACAAAAGGCGCCAGGAAAAGCTCAATAAATATGGTATCATTGAGCTTCACAAGGGCCAACAATCTAAAAGAAAGACATGCCTCTAGGCAGACGGGTCTCAAGATTCAAAGAAAAAATAAGGATAATGTAGTGAATTTGTGTTCCGTTCCACTTGACCTCAAAATCATGGAGATCCTTCAGAAGGTACTAAATTTTCCATTTCGGAATGAAAGGAAGGCTATCAAGGACATTGTAATGGAGTTAATAAATACTTATAAGAAGCTAACTGAAAAATCAAAAAAAGAGCTTGAATGTGAAATCATCCCAACAACCCTGGCGCCTAAAAGCCCATGGGTAGGAACAATATAGACACGCTATATAGATAATTAAGAAAAAATGATCAAATAACCTATAAGCTGACAAATGAGATTCCACAGTGGTGATGGACAGGAATGAATGTACTAAGAAAATGGGAAATAATCTCGGGGACACGACAACTTATCGAATGCTAGCAAAATATCCAACAGTTAAAACCAAAGGTGCATAGCCGAAGGAAATGAGTCTGAACGAGGAAATCGACAAATGAACAATGAACTCCCTCATTCAAAAGGATGTAGGCACCACAAAAGCATACGGTTTGCCGAAGGTACATAAAAAGGAGAACTATTAAGACTAATAATCAAGAAAAAACATGGACCGACACATAGATTAACGAAATTAATCTGACTCAAAGAATATTAAAGACAGATTCTCGAATTCATGGAAGAACGAATAGGAATTTTGCCAAAGAATCAAAGGGGCAAGTATGGAAGGAAACGAATTTTTGATGAGCTTTGATATAGAGTCCATGTACACTAAGATAACAAGAGAAAATGCATTCATCGCACGATTGGAGAGCGTGGGCACAGAAAATTACGTCTTGGAGACAACGAGATATTTAAATGACTACTTCGTAATTTGGTCGCATGTAAGAGAAAAATTATACGTTCTCCTGATCTTCATTAACCAAATTTGATGAAAATTTCAAATTAACTATAGATCTCTAAAGCTCATGTGAGACATAATACTTAATATTATTCAGTAATAGATGACTCGGTCTCACGGTACAATTTAATCTTACTTAGTCCAGCTTCCCAAAAAGCTATCGCACCACTCGTTGGATCAACGTAATCAAGCTTGTGGACTATGTTCCTGGTCTATTAACTCTGTTGTTCTGAGAGATCTGGTTGAGATAGAAACCTCAACAAAACCTGGATAAGATGGCCTTATGTAAAGCAAAGCCCCTTACAATTCTGTGTGATTGTAAAATCATCAAATCTTTTCACAGTGATAAGTTCTACTATCATGAATCCTACACATTTAACTATATATAAACTGTTTCTAGAACTCACAATTTCGAATGGTTATTTGGAAACCTATTCATTTAAAGTGCAAAAGGGCGGTTGAGTGAGAAGACAAGTCGAGGCCAGAAAAGGACAATCCTCGTTGGGCAGATGGACATCTTGTTGACTGGGCGACTTTGTCGATGGATGATGGAGAAGCATGTACAAATTGAGGCGACAGCGTCGTCTCAACACTGTGGCATCTCGGCCGTACACCACCTGACCGGCTTGGCTGGCCGACCGGCTGGCAAGTAAATGAGCCAACTCTGCCTGACCTACTCACAAGTTTGGGCCGACAGTTTGCAGTTCACAGTTGACTCGAGTCGGGCAGAGACGCTCGTCTGGCACTCGATTTAATGCTTTTCACATTCACCTGTAATAATTATGCTGAGGGCAAGAGGTCTCTGTTGGCTATTAACTCTTGTCCCCTGGCCTGTCAGTTGAGACGAGGGCTACGCGATTTGCTGATATCGGTCCGTTAGGCTGGGTTAATTGTCTACCCACTCGGCAGATTCGCCATGACAGTCGCCA